GTCAGTGGAATGTCTTGTCCAGACCCGATTATTTACAAACCGCAGTCATATGGCTGTAATATTCTCGAGTGCGGCGTTAAACAACAAACAAAAAGGCGTGGCGATCAAGATTATTGCACTTATATAAGCGACGTGCATGCATGTGTATTGCTGCTCGCACAAGTTCAGGACTTCTGCCGGTTTTATAGTGCTAGCCTACTGAGATACCATACCGCAAGTTAAATATAGTCACAAAAATAGTCACATGCAGGCGAATGTCCAAGGAATACAGTTATTTATTTACAGTATTTGTTTTAGGTAAGTGAACCCCTAAACATGAAAACGATGCTAGTTTCAAAGCACAGAGTATCACTGGTTTTCAAACTGAAACCGATATCCATTAAATTATTAAATGCTGCTTTGGAATTTCCAAATTCGAGATGAGTCGACGTTAGGTTTAAAGCTTAATATGTTTGCTATACTAAATGTACTTTTACGAAAAGCATGTCATATATTATTTGTGAGGAATCCATTTGTGTTGGCAATCAGGAAGTGAAAATACCATCCAAAGTACCAGTACACATAGATCCTGAATCTGGGACAATCTGTCTAATACCCCAAATGTAAAACCTATTGTTCCAGAAGGTGCTTTGGTCGTACTTAACTATGCACATAATGCGCCCGTGGCTGAGTATAGGCTATTAAATGGGGGATGCTTATAAATAGTCAAACTAAATGCCCTTTTGCGCTTAGTTTGATTACCGATTAGTTTGATCAGTGTTGCTTACGACAGTAAAACTAAATAATAATAATAATAATAATAATAATAAAAAAAATAAATTCTGCTCTAATATTTTTGCAACTGTGTAAAACAATTCATTAGCAGTTTAACGTAACGGTGTCAACATTTAACATAGATTCACGGCTGTAAGGAGTGAGTGGCTGAGTTAATACCGTTATAATGCAGCAACTGACGACGGCCTATAAATGATCGATTATCAGTCAGGCAAACCTGGTTTTATTTCGAACAATGATGAACGCAGTCGGGGTACGATAACACACGGTCAACCAGGGCACATAGTGTGACCACCTCAGTTTGTCCGCCCTTACGACACGCTTGGGGTAATAGGGAGCATTATGCCGCTTGTACCAGAGTCTCTTTCAAAGCATCAGTGTAGGTTTACCTTATATATCAGGGCCCCGTTCCACAAAGCGGTCTTAGCGATACGGCTATCGTAAATCTGAATAGTCTGTTAAGGTGTGGGTGTCACGGTTGTCTTACCGCTGAGGTCCCTTTGTGAAACGGGGCCTTGGATCCAGTTCAATCGCAGCTTGTTCCTATTTTCCACACATGTGAAACTACTGAGTGAAAATTAAGCTGAAACTGTGCAATGATGGCCCCATCAGATGTGAAACTCATACTTGCTCCAACAAATTCAACATGGCCTCCACGGCAGCCATATTGTAATTACGATTTGTGACCCTAGCTCAGCCATTTCTGAATGTATGTTCATGAAATTGCATATGAAGTTATTAAGTTGAGTGAGAAATAAGGCGATTGACGATTTGAAATTTGACCCAATTTAAACAGTCACCGTTTATTCAGACAGTTGTTTATATCGTGTCGTTTATCCCAGGATAAATATGTGTATAGATGCTATCTGAAATAATAATTCAGAGAAGTTCAGGCGAACTACAGCGCCTTGTAGCTTTATTTTTATTCAACTGTGAAACCATCGAAAAACTACTTTACATCAACGGACAATTACATCCTTCTCGTCGGCTTTTAGAGCAAGCACTGGGGACCAATTTTGCCCCGGAATCTCAACGGGGGATTTTCCAAACAGAGCTAATGTACTAAAAGTACACACTACTGCGAGTTAACCATTATATCTGTTCCTTCAAACTGCAATAACAAATTGAATCAAATACTGAATAGTGAAATGCGGTAACAAGTAGCTCAAATATGTTTTGAAAGGATAATTTGATTTCAGAAACATATTTGGATGATACATACGTTTATGATGCATTTGTGACTAACGAGTACATGCATGGCTTGTGGGGATTCTTTCTTTCTTGTGGGTATTGTGGGGTTGTTAAGATTTCGGCACTGAAGTTGTAATGGAAGTGAATGGTGGAAGAACGGTCCGTGTGTTCTGTTGCGCGCTCAAATATTTATATTACCCCAGCTTCTCTTCAATGCCATTTGGACCAACTCCTAGCAGAGATACTCCTCCCAGCAGATTCGCCTCCCGCCCGGCTCGTTGCATTAATTCACCAAAACTACGCTCTTGTTCGCATGGAAAGCGTATGCCGTATTTTCACGACCCGCATTTACGAAAACGTTTCGAGAATGATAAGGTCAGTGTATGGTTACTGTACGTGCTTATCAACATAAGCAAAGTCTTACGTCGTCGGAGTACGATGACACGCAATCAACCAGTTCTCCGAGTCTGACATCTCGATCCATATTTATTCCCCGACGATGACCGGAAATTTTGGGGCAATGTCGTGATTTGAAACCTCTAATTTCCACGGCAGCAGTAATGTATTTTCTGATATTTTACCCTGTGTTCCTTTATCTATATCCGTCAGTATATACGTTATCAGCGAGGTTATGTATGCTGCAGAATTTCTGTGACCTCCATCTTTCTTGAATAATGAAATTATTTTGGATTATGCATTTTGATTAGTTCTTTGTTGTCTCGGTTTGACAACACTTCTGTCATACAAGTTTCCACCGAACAAAGCATTCGCGTTCGAGAGAATGTTAATTATTTTGAGCACAAAGACACGACGTGAGCGCGAGGTATTCGCCCCCCTATCGCCAACTAGTGGTAGTTTCCTTTGAACAGTAGTATACTATATTTCAGTTAGTGAGCGTTGATAAACCACAGTCGTCACATTCTAGCTATATCACGGCATCATGTGAAAAATCTGTATCTGAGCCAGGCAAAGTAAAACTGTACACAACTGTAACTACCCGACTGTCATAAGCCTGTCCTCATGACAAGCACCCACGAGGCGACCAAGGATAGGTCTCCAGCACGCTATTGCTATTTATTGTTGGCTCATAAACTGAAGCATTGCTAATGATAGCAATAACCTGTTTGTTTGCGGCCGTGATATATAGCTGGAACATTGCTAGGCTTAAACTAACGACAAACAGGACCACTTAGGATTTATTGTTGCCCGGAATCTGTAAGGGACATACCATACCTCGTCTGGCTAAAAGGGGGGCGATGAGTAGCCTTGTGGTTTAAGCGTTCGCTCGTCACGCCGAAGACCGGGTTCGATTCCCCAATTGGGTACAAGCTGTGAAGCCCATGTCTGGTGTCCTCCGCCGTGATATTGCTGGAATATTGCTAAAAGTGACGTAAAGCCATACTGACTCACTCACTCATGCACTGGCTCACAGGGGCCAGTGGAGATTCAGGATCAGAATAGGCCCCCAGTAACCTGTGCTGTGTCAGGCAGAGGCGAAGGGAATGGATCGGGTGGTCAAGCCCGGTGACTTGGTTGAAAGCGTGTGATCGAACCCCGACGGTGTTCATCGTTGCTCATAATGTCATTCACTGTATTGTCTTGTCCATGACATGACCAACTAAACACTCGCGTCTATTTTTCTATCATGAAATTTATGAAATAGTTACTCAAAGACGATTCCTTATAAAACAAACAAACGTTTTCCATTGGCCGATGTTGTCTTCAGATTACCATTTATTTTTGATTGCCATCTACACTGACAGTAGCCCCAAGACGACAAAAGGGAAAAAAGCTCTCAAGTTCAATATCCCTCAAGCCGCCATATGTAATGAGAGCTAACTTAATTTAAAAATGCAACTGTCCGTCAATCAGTTTTTAGAAGTCAACTATATCAGATTACACATCTCACGCTGAACCATTTCTGGTGTCGTGTCATATACCCAACCAGTACGGCCCGCCTGATTTGTAGACTTGACCGTGTTTCATGAACGATGTGAGAGAGGTGTTGATATGCGCTACTTGTGTCATTATAAACCTACTGGCTGTTTGTGTAACTCGAAATGGAGTTTTTGAAATTGTGGTAACACCTCGTAGGAGGTATTACAACGATTATAACTTCCGTTCAGATTGTAACATGTAATGAAATGTAAAATCAAATGACAAATGTTTTCTTTATATTCCCGAGGATCGAATTCGCAACCTTCACATCTGTAGCCCAGTGGGTGTACCACAAAGCTACAGGGGTGTTGATAAGCAGCACTGCTCTTTAGAATGTCCTTTTAAAGACCCGTACGCCAGCAACAGGCTGTACAATGAATGAGGTCAGTCAAAGCAAAACGTGTAATAGTCTCAGCCTACGAGACGCACGTGCAGATTTCGTGCCATTGCGAGACGCACGTGCAGATTTCGCACCGTTGCGAAACCCACGTGCTGAGGTCACCGGTTTCATTGAACCTAGTTCACGACTGCAGGCGATATTTCATCTCCGATACAGGTTATACATTTGAGAGTTTTTATTAGTTATTTCATTAAATACGTTGTCTATGCGATGAGTCGGTTTATAAGTTGGGGAAAACCATGTCTCCTCGAGATTACTAGAGATTGTAAACCCTCACATTCGGGAACGTCCCTTATGTGAGGGTTTACAATCTCTAGTAATCCCTCGGAGACATGGTTTCTCCTACGCATATAACCATATAACGGCGGTGATCACTAGGAATGGCCTCCTTACTGCACAATCGTTTGGACGCGGAGCCGGTCTCCGATGCGACGTGTCAGTGTTGTAAATAAGAACTGTGTTCGTCGCTGCCCCTTTGATATCTGAAGCAGGGCTTTGAACCACTACCCATGTCTTCATGTTACGATTTAAACAAAATCAACCTGGCCAATTATAGTTACCACGAAATCCCTATTTCAGTCGGATCTTACAAGCACAGAACACTAGGAATCTATTCTGTATTAGACTTCCTACGAGGGTCAATAAGAACTGTATTACCTCAAGGCGTATTTCTGATATTATTATATTACATTTACAGATTCAACTCGTGGCTTACAACACTGACATCTACTCCTCGTTCCGAGAGGCGCTACAAGCTCCATATGGCATTGCAATCGTGTCAGTGTTCGCAGAGGTATGTAACGTGTTAATATGGACCGGGAGTAACCCTCATTTGAATCCTCCGATGACGTCATCTGATGTTTTCGGAGGGATTGATATTAGTATGGCCACGAATGATTCTGCGGATTCCCATGATTCTGCTGGAATCCGCGTCATCTCATGTTGTTTTACACTTAATAATCTGAACCTCCGCTCAAGCCCGTCTTCACAAACGTTGACTTTATATTTGTGGAGTAGGTTTATATTAAAATTACAATACACCTTTCAGTCGACCCGTGAAGGTCCGGGGTACAATAGGTCTTCAGCAACCCATATTTGCCATAAGAGGCGACTAACGGAATCGGAAGGTCAGACTCGCTGACTTGGTTGATGTATATCACCGTATCCCAATTGCCTGGATCTATGCTCATGATATCAATCTCTGAATTGTCTGGTCCAGACTCGATTATTTACAGACCGCCGTCATATAGCTGGAATATTGCTGAGTGCGGCGTTAAACAACAAACAAACAAACAAAACCAACACCTTTCACTCTCTCGTAAGTCTTTCCAAACATCTGCTTCTGTATAGGGACAACCAACTCCAGTATTCGTTCTAGATTTGTTGGTATCTGAGCTAGGTTAAAGCTAGGGATTGGAAACCCTCGAAAAGAGACCCTCGGCCCTTCTTTCCCTCGCCGTCTTCCCTCGGGTCCTAGTTTCCCTCGCCTCTGTCCCTTCTAGACTTACTTTCCCTCCCAACGGGTCTAACTCGCGGACATATCCGTAGACCATTGGCGTGGGACGTTGCTCACAATTTCAATCAGTGGTTTTATCTGGCCCGGATTCGAATATTTACAGGCCGCCGTCATATAGTTGGGATATTGAGGAGTGCGGCGTTAAACAACAAACATAGCTTCGTTTCGGAATTGACGTCAGACACAAGCCCTATCCACCTTTCTCTAACCTGGAGGGGGCACGGGTGGCCCAGTCGTCTAAGGCGCCGCGATTCGCTGTGCAGAGTTGCGTCCCTTGGGCACGCCAGAAACCTATGATTGTGGGTTCGAATCCCGGTTCTCCCCGATTATGTTTCTAGGTTTGTCAGCACCATACCCGTGCTCGTGGGTTTCACCGAAGTGGTAAACGTCTGATACCTGCATCACTTCGGGCTTTCCTCCCACATTAAGCTGTGATATAACTGGAATACTGTTAAAAGCGGCGTTAAACCCAACTCACTCACTCTCTGACCCAATTCCTCACACAATTCCTCATATTCGGACAGCTACTTTTAACATCGTGATGTTTGACTCGGATTAAAACGACACAATTGCTGCGAGTGTGGCAACGTATTGGTCTAGGTCGTGTATTCATTCAAAATAGCATGGAGATATAAATAAATGCTCTGAACAGCTTAAGAAACAATTCATCAGCTCTAAACATTAATTAAGTTATGTTTTGTCCTGTGTTGTTCTGTTTCTCCGGGCGACACTTGGAAACTGCAATACGGCACGCAATGGTTTCAGATGTCGCTGATTCTCCAACTTCTCCTGCCACAAATCCGTGACAGCTACATCTATCACTGTTCAACGCACCACGCAAGTCCACACATCACAATATTGAACCATTACTGTAACAATGGCCGATTCGCGTGACAATAGCCAGACGTTATAACTTATAACGCAATAGCCATGGACTGCATCCAATTGAACGTGGACGTCCATGACATCATCATCTCCACAACTGATGGCGCATGGAGATAAATGTCTCAGCCAAACACTGTAGCAATGACAATTTCTCCAGCTCCATCCCTTAAAGATATGAACAATGTCCTTCGCCCTGTCACCCCGTATTACCCATGCTTTATGGGGGAGACGGAAAGATCACCCAAGATAACTATAAATCTGTTGCAGCAGCCGAGTTATCTTTAATCAATGTCCTTGATTTCTCGCAGATTGGTCAGCCTGTGAACGAAGCCTTTAAAACCATGGCAACCTTTGCGCAACGGATATTGTGGAAAGGTAAATCACATTTTTTCATCTAAATGATCATTACTGTTCTCTACAGAAGTAATCAGTCTTTTTTACTGAAACTACCTCATGACGGAGCGTCCTTGGTAGGTATATGTGTTGGTATACTCAAGGTGATAAGTAGAGGAACAGATAGTCTAAATGTCGGGGAACGGTTCGGTTTAAGGCGAATGGGTTTGTTTCAATGCAGGGAACGATTTGATCTTTACTGGGATACTGTCTACCTGACGATTTGACAGTGGTCGATTTCACGGCTACGATTGTGCGACACTAAACATGGCATTCATTGATCCTTGGTATCGAATGAAAACAAATAGTGGTCTACTTAAAATGTGTTTGTGTAGTAAACTTGCTCTCGCCCAAATTTACACAAGCAGAACAGTTTGTTGGTGGAGAGAGAGTCTCCATGTGTATTTACATTCGTGCTAAGCATGCGCACCTATAACCAGATATGGGACATCGGTCACCACATGTTTTGGTGGTGCCCTGGTAGCTCACATTCGTCACCACTCGCCCCTTCCCATAGCCTGCAAGAAGACTCGTCCCCCTATGGTTGGTTTGTTGTTTAACGCCGCAATCAGCAATATTCCAGCTATATGACGGCGGTCTGTAAATAATCGAGTCTGGACCAGATAATCCAGTGATTGATATAATGAACATCGATCCACGCAATTGGGATACGATGACATGCATCAACCAAGTCAGCGAGCCTGACCACCCGATCCCGTTAGTCGCCTCTTATGACAAGCATAGGCGCCTCTCACGGCAAGCATGGGTTGCTAAAGACCTATTCTAACCCGGATATTCACGGGTTCGCAACTGGGGACGCACAGCGAATTGCAGCGCCTCAAATTCCTAGGCCACCGGTGCCTCCCTAGTCATAAAACGGAAGAACGGTTTGATGGGGATGCTGGTTCATTTTGATGCGCAAACACAGTTTGGAAACTGTTTATCCATCTTATATAGAAAGCAAAAAAATATTGAATGTTTTCAGATAAAGTACAATTTACACTTGATACCGTCTAGCTGACGACATTTGAAATACGATCTGATGAACGATTTCCCTTTATCATTCCTTTTACAGCTCGTCGACACCAGAGTAGGAAAAAAACACATTTTTATGTGTATTTGCGTTTTCTTTGATCTTGATATGTCCCCTAGAATAGCACCAACACGATAGACCTGGTTTCTCGATACATCGAGAATCACACGCGAATGGTGCAGAATCAAGATGTTATTATTCATTCAAGACGCCAGGTAGTCACCATACATAAACTATATGTGGTCGTAGCCAGTTATTTAAAGGACAACATGAGATGAAAGTGTCAGAGTTGCTGTGTGACACTGCAGGAGCCACGGATCGTCCGTCCCGTTAGAAATGTCTGCCCATTTGCGCTGTGGGCTTTACAACCTACAACTATGAATGGATAAAATAGTTTTAATATCTAAATATGAATCTACTCCTTAATCATTTACCTGCAAATACGTATATGTGAACTTTGAAGAAAACAATCATCAATGGTCTTTTAGTGTCGGCTGCTATATTGTTTTCCTTGTACACTTTTCTGTCTCTTTTGAACTAGTGAAGGCTGTTTGTACACACATACACACAACTACCCTCTCCTCTCTCGGCCGGGGATCAAACCCCCAACCTTCCGCTTTCCAGGCGGACGCTTAACCACTAGACCACGGAGACGCTCGACAACCGAAATGGGCTTCACACATTGTACCCATGTGGGCAATCGAACCTGGGCTCTCGGCGTGACGAGCGAACGCTTCTACTACTTGGCTACCCCGCCGCCCTTAGTGTGACGAGTGAACACTTAAACAAGGCGTCTACCTCGCCCCCATGTTAAGAAACGAAATCTCCCACTAAATACACATTAAATACCAATGTCATTACTCGTGATAAGCAGCAATTAGTTTTTAACGAGGTGATTAAATGTTAGAGGAATTTATTTCTCCTTAATCTGTCGCCATATTGAGCAGTATTTATCTCCATGCTAGGGAAGCGGATAGGTCTGTGTCGATGACGTCAATTGATACAAGTGTCTAATTTAACAGTTCGACTGGCCCGTTACCAATGGAACAAACAGAGATGTCTTAATGGGTTTGGAATTCACGTTATCTGAGCTCATGGACTCCAGTGAGAGGTTTTAGAGTTTATTAAGTGTCGGAAATCAATATAACACTATGTTAGTCACAGAAGCGTTCGGTCTAATCTCTCGTTGAGAGACGACTTGAAGTTATTTAAGATATTATTATTCGTTGACGTTACATCATGTTGCTAGATACGATGGGGCTTCTCTTAAATACTAACAACGTGTTTCGCCTTTAAAAATGTGATTTTTTTCCTGATATGTTTTTATTCCTCCTGATACTTTCTCGTGTTTCGATTTATTACCAAATTTTCTTCATGTGCGTTGTCAAATTCCGGTTGTGATAACTTCGCCTACTAAATGCTGTGGTGCTTCGTCTTAAGCTCAGATCTTGTTTAGCCTGCCAAATCTCGTCTGACCTACCAAATCTCGGACAACATCGCTATGTATGCCGAACCATACGTGACTTCACTTTATAGACCAATTGTCGCAGTCCTTCGTTTTGCAGGATTAATGTACTCTCCATCAAAGCATGTTTCAAACCACCCGATGTCTCCTTAACATATTTCTTGAGAGATTTGTCTCATATATAAATCTCCAATTATGATACGTCTCGGCTTTGTCTCTCGTGCGGGTTTATGTATTCCCAAACCAGGCTCTTTGTTGTGTGACAGTCACTTCATCATTTGCCTCTCGTAGGGCATCCTACAAGATCTCTTCAATCCCCGGCCGTGTCATACCAAAAGACGTTGAAAGATGGTTATTGTTGTTAGTCTATCTGGCGCTTGGCATTGAGGGGATGAAACCAGAATTGGTCGTCTCGGAGTCGTGCACTCCGTCTGTGTGGGATATCTATGTTAAACTGCGGCATGCGCTATGAAAACGGCTGAAGTCTGGACAAGTACAAGCAGCCACACACCCGTCAATAATATTTACGCGACGTTAACCTGAACTCAACTCAACTCAACTAAACTAGACGTACCTGTGTTTCAGAGGGTCATTAGTGACCATGTTGTCTGAAGTGCCGCAAATCGTCAAAGACGCTTTTAGCAACATTCCAACAATATCACGGCGGTGGACACATGAAACGGGTTTTACACACTCAACCCATGTGGGGAATCGAACCCGAGCCTAAGGCGTGACGTGAGAACGCTTTAACAACTAGACAAAACCATGCAGAGCAAAAAATCTGCTTGACCCAAAATAAGAAAGTGGAATAATGGTTCCGATAATAATCAATATTTAAACATTGATTAATTTTACCATATTCAAATCTACATATCCATTCATATCATTTCACCTTAAGGGGGACACGTGTGACCCAGTCGTCTAAGGCGCCGCGATTCGCTGTGCAGAGTTGCGTCCCTTGGGCATACCAGAAACCTTTGATCAGAGGTTTGAATCCCGATTCGCCCAGATTATGTTTTTAGGTTTGTCAGCTACAAAACCGTGCTCGACGGTGTCACCAAAGTGGTAAACGTCCGAGACCTGCATCACTTCGGCTTTCCTCTCACATCAAGCTGGCGTCATGATATAATTGACATACTGTTTAAAGCGGTGTTAAACCCAACTCACTCACTTACACTACGCTTCACTCTTGCCCTGCCGAGCCTGTTATCAGCTTCTGGAGGGGGGCACGGGTGCCCCAGTCGTCAAAGGCGCCGCGATTCGCTGTGCGGAGTTGCGTCCCTTGGGCACGCCAGAAACCTATGATTGTGGGTTCGAATCCCGGTTCGCCCCGATTATGTTTCTAGGTTTGTCAGCACCATATCCGTGCTCGTGAGTTTCACCGAAGTGGTAAACGTCTGAGACCTGCATCACTTCGGGCTTTCCTCCCACTTTAAGCTGACACGCCGTGATATAACTGGAATACTGTTAAAAGCGGCGTTAAACCCAACTCACTCAGCTTCTGGCTGACGCGCTAGCCAGGCAAATATCAGGAACAATTTATTAAAAACCAGCGACAACATGTCATCAGTCTCACGAAAGATAGTTTGCAAGAAACGCGAGGCTCTGTAGTATCTATACGTTCATAATGATGCTGCGCGATTTGTTTTAGCTCACCTAGATATTCGTGTGAGAACATATCATGGCATTTTGTCCATCGTCTCACCTAATACCATCTACCAATGGGGACTTATATTCCGAATATGCTTGCCTGTCTGAAGATCAATAGTGTGTCACCGCAACTCGCGTTCCCGTGGCAAATCCTTATGTATGTATAATGAAGCAAGTGTATGTGTCTCACTATTCCCTTGGGTCTCTGGCCGGGAAGTGATATAATAAAATATGGCAGCTACACTGGCTCCAGTTGTTGAAGGGTTGTAAAGAAAGGAAATATCCAAACGGCGGAAACGGTGGCGGACGACACGCGTGGCCCGCCATCTTCCCGAGGCAAGGAAGTTAACTGACTATAAACGTCCAGTAGTTAACTCCCTTGCCGCGGGAACATGGCGGCCGGCTTATATTAAGTTACATTCATCACGTTTACGGAGACTAATTTATTCATTTATTGAATCTGTTAAGTGAATGACTGTTTGTCTGTGTAAATAAAAAAACTGTAAGTTATTCGAGCTACCCATCAATAATGGCTGCCTCCGTGTACTAGCTAATAAAGCGTCTTCCCGGATAGCGTAAGGTCGGAAGGTTCGACACCCGGCTGCGTCATACCAAAAAGAAGTAAAAAGATGGTACTTGTTGTTATCCTGCCTGGCGCTTGGCATTAAGGGGATAAAACAAGGACTGTCGGCTCAGAGTCAGTATACAGTGTCTAAATGGGGTATCCACGTTCAACTGTGAAATAGCCTTGAACGTGGTAATAAACCTCACCATCAATAATTGCAAAAGGTGTCTTGCTCGTCCCTTGACATAACAATACACTTGTTTTCTTCA